ACAATTTTTACCTCAAAATTTGTCTTGGAAATGGGAATTTTGGCCTTAAAATGGAAGATTCGAGGCCTGAAACAAAAAATTTGGCCTTAAAACCGGGAATGTTTTTCCTCAGGATTGAAAATGGGGTGGGAGGAGCCGCTTTGGGATTGTTTTATTTTTGTTATTTCCTGTTTTTTGGGATTGTTTTATATTTGTTATTCCCTGGGTTTTTTTTAGGAGAATCCAACACCAAACTCAGTAAGTCCAAACCACCCCTGGGATGATTTTAATGGGAAAAAAAGTCCTCATTTTAAAGGAATTTTGGGCTCTTTTGGGCCCGACCCAGAAATCGAGGAATTTTTATTTAATAAAGACAATTTTCCCGCTCTCTTCCTGCCTCGTCTTTCCAGAGGAACGCGACAGGAAAATCAGTTAAGTGTCGTTTTTTGTGGTGTTCTTGGGGTAAAACTCCCTGGGTTTGGGGCAGGGAGATCCTGCCCTGGAAAAAAAAGGGGAAAAAAGGAATTTCCCCCCAAATTTCAGCCCAAATTTGTGCTTTTCCTGCAGGAAAATAACCCCAAAAATCCCATTTTTTCCCTCCACAGCCAAACTCGCCGGGGAAGTCCGTGAGTGCTGCTCCTTATTTCCCAACTCAGCTGCCGGTTTTGGGCTAAAAATCCTCAATTTTGGGCTTAAAACCCTCAATTTTGGGCTTAAAACCCTCAGTTTTGGGCTTAAACCCCTCAGTTTTGGGCTTAAACCCCTCAGTTTTGGGGTAATTTTGTCCCTTTTCCTGGATTAATCCCTGTTTTCCCTCGTCCCACAGGGAGACTCACGGCGCTGGTGGGTGAGGAATCTTTCCTTAATTTCAATTTGGGGTTAATTATTAATTGTTGCTAAGTAAAATTAGAAATATAAAAATGGGAAAAAAATTAGAAATATAAAAATGGGAGAAAATAGAAATATGAAAATGGGAAAAAGTTAGAAATACAACAATGGAAAAAATTAGAAGTATAAAAATGGAAAGAATTTAGAAATATAAAAATGGAAAGAATTTAGAGATATAAAAATGGAAAAAATTTCAAATTATAAAAATGGAAAAAAAATTGGAAATATAAAAATGTAAAAAACTTAGAAATATAAAGATGGAAGAAAATTAGAAATATAAAAATGGAAAAAAATTAGAAATATAAAAATGGAAAAGAATTAGACATATAAAAATGGGAAAAATAGAAATATAAAATTGGAAAAAAATTAGAAATAGAAAAAATGGAAAAAATGAGAAATATAAAAATGGAAAAAAATTAGAAATACAGAAATGGGGAAAATTAGAAATAGAAAAATGGGAAAAAATTGGAAATACAAAAATGGAAAAAATTAGAAATATAAAAGTGGAAAAAATAGAAATATAAAAATGGAAAAAATTAGAAATATGAAGATGTAATAAAATTAGAAATATAAAGATGTAAGAAATTAGAAATATAAATGAAAAAATTAGAAATAGAAAAATAGAAAAAAATTAGAAATAAAAGTGCAAAAAAGAGAAATATAAAAATGGAAAAAATTAGAAATATGAAAATGCAAAAAATTAAATTAGAAATCTGAATGTAAAGAAATGCCCCCCAGGTGCCCCCAAGCCTCTGATTTGGGTGTTTTTTCTCCTCTCTCCCCTCCAGCCGAGCGCGACTCCGGGCTCCGTAAGTGCCGCCATTCCCTGGATCTGGGGCTCCCAAAATTGGGAATTCTGCCCCTCCCTGGGCTGGAATTGGGGGGTTCCCCCCCTGAGAACCCATTCCATGGCTTAGAGCTGATTCTAGTCCAGTTAAATTCAATATATTGGTTATTAAATCCTCTCTCTGTTGGGAATTGAGGATGGTGACGGTTAAAATTGGTCAGAAATGATCACATGAAAGATTATATTTCATTTAGAGTTCATTAATTACCACTCATTCCAATTTGTTCACTTTATTTCTCTGGGTTTAAGAATTTATTCACTTTATTTCTGTGGTTTTTTCAGGGAAGCTCCGCTCAGAGCTCGGTGAGTGTTGGGAGGGGGGAAAAGGAGCCCTGAAAACCTGAGTTTTTAGTGTTGTTTTAAATTTTAATTTCTAATTTTAACCTTCAGCCTTGCTTTGAAATCGAGCTTTTATATTTTATATGTTATATTTTATATGTTATATTTTATATATTATATTTTATATATTATATTTTATATTTTGTATTTTATATTTTATACTTTATATATTGCATTTTGTATTTTATATTTTATATCTTACATTTTATATTTTAATTTACATTTTATATTTTACATTTTACAATTTATGTTTTATATTTTATAATTATATTTTAAGCTTTAATTTTATATTTTAATTTTGTATTTTGTATTTTATATTTTACATTTTATACTTTGCATTTTACATTTTATATTTTATACTTTGTATTTTATATTTTATATTTACATTTTATATTTTAAGTTTTACATTTTACATTTTACATTTTAATTTTGCATTTTATACTTTACATTTTACACTTTATATTTTACATTTCCCATTTTACATTTTATATTTTAATGTCACATTTTCCATTTCATACTTTATATTTTCTAGTTATATTTTCTATTTCTATTTTTATTTTATATTTATATTTTCTATTTCTATTTCTATTTTCTATTTCTATTTTCTATTTCTATTTCTATTTCTATTTTTAATTTCTATTTCTATTTC